TATGTAAATGAACGCGGTTTTTTTTGGAAACGAACGCTCGGGCAATATTTTTACTTTAGTTTTGATTCAAAAACGCATGATCGCACCGGCTCGCCTGGTGCGTTCCAGCCTTTGTTATGCATGTTGTGCTGTGAAACAGCTGCACATAACGCACATTGTTGTGGGGTTGTCTGTATGTATGTTTGTTTGTATGTGTATCTGTATGTCTGATGCATCTAATCCGCAGCTTTCAACTCGGGAACCACGGAAGCTAGGAAGCTGAAATTTTAGGGGACTGTTCCTTGCCTTCGTGCGACCTCTCAAATTTAATTTCAGCCTTTCCGTGTCTGCGAGGATCACGTGCGGCCTCGTGAAATTTTTGGCGGAGGAATTATTATCTCAGGAGCCATAGAATCTAGCAAGCTGAAATTCTAGGGTAATGACCTCTGCCCACGTACGAATTCGTAAATTCAGATTCAGTGTTCCGGCGCTTTCAGGTAAAAAAATTCCACAACTTAGGAACCAGACAACATTTCAATATTTTTGCACATACCAAAGTGCAAAGAAATGAAAATCATTAGCAGGCGATCATTCGGTGGAGGAACTGTACAAAACGCATGATCGCACTAACTGACCAGGGGTACGTCGTTTTTTATTTGAATTTCATAATTTTCTTAGCAATTCTTGATGCCCCAGCAACAATAACTTAAAGACTCCAAGGTCCTGTATAATTCAAGAAATCTCGGTTACGCATGGAACGGCTCACGTATTGCGTAAGCTAAGCTGGATTTAGACCGCACGTGAATATAGAACGTCCTTGCAAGCTTTTGATTTTACAGCTTGTCCAATAAACGAAAAAACGCGTAAAACCTGTGTATCTCTTTCATTAAGAGTTTTTAGTAATCACTGTATCGGATCTGTTCAAAGTTACTTCCTTCTGTTTTGTATTAATATGCACTAGTGATCTGACGTCACATTAGCACAAAAGCAGAGCCGTTTTCCTGCTTTTGTACCTTTCCATGCATATGTCATTACCCGCGTCTTCGATCTATATCTCGTCGCAAAATCCCGAAATCCTCGCTTGTCGCTTACGGTTTCGGTAAGCAAATTACGTAAAATATCGTGTCTTAAAATGTGATCTGTGAAGGAGGAATTAGAAGTGCGGGGGAGTGAGTGTATGCGTAGCGAGCCGAATTCTCATCCATCATTTCAAGCTTCACATTGTTCGGTGTCGCTGTGCTGCTTTTTAGCACCTTAGAGCTCTGTTTGCACAATGGCACTTGGCTTGCACCATGGACACCGGCTTCTGTTCTTTTGCTCCCAAAGAGCATCTCTGGTAGCTTTTTCTAAAGTCATTTGTGGCAAAATTTTGTAGGAAAGAAATTCCGTGTGCGATTTTATAACCTCAAATTCCGTCCTAATTAAGCGCCTGTGATTTTTCTCTTAAAGACAATTTTAAACAAGCAAACACAATTTGAGGATTTGCAGCATGGCTCCTGTGGAAACAACGCATTTGTTCCAATTCGTAGCGAAAATCCTGTAGTGGGCTCACATTCCGTTGATGGCTCTTTTT